GGGCAGCTCCTGTGGCTCAAAGGAGTAGGGTGCCAGTGTCCCCATATGCCGGAGGTGGTGGGTTCAAACCCAGCCCCGGCCAAAAACTGCAAAAGAAACCTCCCTTCTAGGCCAGGCACCAGTGGCTCACACCTGTAATCCTAGCATTCTGGGAGGCTGAGGTGGGTGGACTGCCAGAGCTCAGGAGTTTGAGACCAGCCTGAGCTAGAGCAAGACCCCGGTTCTAAAACTAGCCAGGCATTGTGGCAGGTGCCTCTAGTCCCAGCCACTCAGGAGGCTGAGGCAAGAGAACTGCTTGAGCCCAAGAGGTTGAATTTGCTGTGAGCTCTGACACTACAGCACTCTACTGAGTGTGATTAAGATTCTGTTTCAAAACAAAAGGGCAGCGCCTGTGGCTGCTCAGTGAGAAGAGCGTGGGCCCTATACACTGAGGGTGGCAAATTCAAACTTGGCCTGAGCCAAACCACAACAAAAAAACAGCCAGGAGCTATGGTGGGTGCCTGTAGTCCCAGCTGCTCAGGAAGCAAGAGAATCACCTAAGCCCAAGAGTTAGAGGTTGCTATGAGCTGTGATGCCATAGCATTCTACCAAGGGTGACAAAAGCGAAACTCTTGTCTCTATTAAAAAAAAAAAAAAAAAATCTCCTTTCTAATACCCCAACTAGAAACAAGAAAACAAAACAGCCTCTGAGCAAAAGCTTACTTACTATCATTTCATTCCAAACATTTAAGGATTTGAGGTCTTACGAGGATGAAAGATCTAGAATGTCTTTTCTATATAAAGAGTATCTTAAGTCTTTAAGACTTTAGGAAAGAAGTCAGAACCATTACTGAGGAATTGGTATCTCCTTAACTAAGGTTAAAAGACCATGGGATAGATACAGTCAGTACATCATACAGATTTCTACCTAATGAATTCCTTTTCCCCTGCACTAGATTCAAGAACTCATGTAAAATCTCTATGCCACAGAGTCCAAATACTCATGTGAGGCAAATGCAAATGACAGCTACACAACACTCTCCATAAAGGGATGGCACTAGGTCCTTTAGGAAGTGCCTTACTCACTGGCTTAAAATTTCAGTAAGCAAGAAAAGGGTATGAACTCAGCAAGCAAGAAATATGGATGGCCATTTGCCTGTGAACGCTGTTCTACAACTGACAATGTAACATTAACTAGGTATGAATAAGGGAAATAAAACCTCAGAAAGTTGTGAAGCAAGGAGACTGGGGTGGGAATGAGACATAAAATAAATTTAGCATTTCTGAAGCATCCCAATACTTGTGTTTCTCCCTTTCTCACAAGCTCTAAACAATGGAATTATTGTAATTTCTCAAATTGCAATTTGAGAAAAATGGGATTTTCAGATAAAGGGTAATGTCTGCCTCCAAGAAACTTTCCTGCTATCACATTACTCCATTACCCTGAATTGTTAAAATTGTTGCTTTGGACTCAGATCAAATCAGCGAAAGAAATAGTGGTCTGTATGACATGTAGAAGAAGAAAGACATATTTGGCTTTGTCTGTTTGTATGGGTACTCTAGCAATAAGACTATCATAACTAATGAAGACATAAATCATCCTTTCTGCTACCCAAATCATTAAGTCAAATGCAAATAGTCTATGTGTCTGCTCTGAAAACTTACTACAATCTGGTTACTTTTTCTTCTAAATTAAAGATGAAGGAAAGAACTAGACTATATAAAATTTGTTGGGCCATTTCATATCCAACCCCCCAGTAATCTCAAATGTATTAACTATAGCTTTCCCCAACATACACATTACTATTTTGGCAGAAATAAGACAAAAGGTAGAGCAAACTTACCTGACATTGATTAGATATTGAGCCAGGCTAATGCTGGCAGCAGATCCAGTGATGGTAACCTGCCTGTCAGTAGATCCCTCCACTGGGTTCGCAATTTTGATCTGCGCCCCAGACATCTGACGGATCTCATTGATTTTGGCGCCCTGACGCCCGATGATGCAGCCAATCAACTTAAGGGAGGAAAAAACAAGGCACCCCAAATTAATCAGAGTTGCATGCTAGGTATGAGAATTCCATCCCAGTCCTCTTAACTTGTCCAAACCACTATTAACTCCTAGGTACAAGCATTAGCTCTCCATTATCTGTCCTGGGAATATTAATTCCAAAAACAAAATAAACCAGAGCCAAACCTACTTACATATGTAGGAATAAGAATATACCTAAAAGTACATTCAGTTTCACACAGCAAAGATGCTTAAACTCATCCTGTCATAATTAGCATCATACTATATACTATTAAGAATTTTAGCCTATTTCTAATGCTTTTTGCCTTGGGAAAAGGTAAAAACATTGGTCTGTATTTACACTATCCAATACTATAAACTGCAATACATGGTTACTGAACACCGGTTCTGTGGCAAATAAGTCTTAGAAACTAAATTTATTTTTTATTTTATTTATTTATTTTTTTTGAGACAGAGACTCAAGCTGTTGCCTGGGTAGAGTGCTGTGGCATCACAGCTCAGAAACCTCCAACTCCTGAGCTAAAGCGAGTCTCCTGCCTCCACCTCCCAAGTAGCTGGGATTGCAGATGCCAGCCACAACCCCCGGCTATTCTTTGGTTACAGCTGTCATTGTTGTTTGGCAGACCTGGGCTGGATTCGAACCAGCCAGCTCAGGTGTATGTGGCTGGCGCCCTAGCCGCTGGAGCCACAGGTGCCGAGCCATGAACTAAATTTATTAATCTCAATTTAAATAGCCACATGTGGTTAGTGACTATCATCTTAGCACAGATCTAATATTCAAGAACCACTGCACTGCTAGGCGTGGTGGCTCATGCCTGTAAACCCAGCACTTGGGAGGCTGAGGCTAGTGGATCACCGGAGTTTGAAGGTTCAAGACCAGCCTGAGCCAGAGCAAGACCTCCATTTTCAAAAAATAGCCAGGCGTTGTGGCAAGCACCCGTGGTCTCAGTGCTACTTGGGAGGCTGAGGCAAGAGGATCACTTGAGTTTGAGGTTGCTGTGAGCTAAGACGCCATGGCACTCTACCAAGGGTGACCAAGTGAGACTGTGTCTCAAAAAAAACAAAAAACAAAAAACAAAAGACAGGTTTGGTGCCTATGGCTCAAGTGGCTAAGGTGCCAGCCATATACACCTAAGGTAGCGGGTTCAAATCCAGCCTGGGCCCACCAAACAACAATGATGGCCGCAACCAAAAATATAGCCAGGTGTTGTGGCGGGCGCCTGTGGTCCCA